TCCAGTGAGGCATGATAATTGTATGGTGATACCCCCCCCCCCCTTGTTTTTAAAGACACTTAACTTTAAAGTGAAATTTTAGCCAGGCTTTAAACATTCAAGTATCTAGTATTCTTAGCAAGTAGTAAATTAGATTTTCAACAAGCCCTCACTGAATGGTGTGTTGCAGGCAATGTGGACTAATTCATTCCTAAGATTCACAACTGAAGCATGGAAATCACTAATTGCTTTTCATCAGGCATTTTAACTACTCCTGCTCTCCCTTCTCAGAGCACATGCTATGCAAATATATTACATTAGATGACTAGAAGGCTTCTGACTCCCTCCTGGGAGGGGGAAACTGGGAGAGCTGTGGTGAGGTAAGAACAACTTCAGGATCTCTGCTGTGGATTTTGTGGATGAATTGATCCACAGTACCTACACCTGGAGGGGTAAGTGAGGGTTTGTTTTAAAGTATACCCACTTCTTGTTAAGATTTTTTTCTGTAGCCTGGTCACAAGTTCACTTTAAAAAAAGGAATATCTGTGCTCAGTTTTATAGATTAGGGTAGCTTTAAATGCCCTTTGTCAGTATAATAAACAGTATAAGCATTATCCATCCATTTTGTGTTTAACCACTAGCCGACTGCAGATAGCCGAATGACAGCTTCACTGCGGCCAGCCAGTTCTGGGAGGGCATCATATGATGTCCGACCAAAACGCGCTCTCCTGCATGCCCCCAGCGATCTCCGTGATTGCTGTTTTTACGGACACAGCTGATCACGTATTGTGGTAAAAGGCCAATCACAGCGGCCTTTTACCACGTGATCAGCCATGTCCAATGGCACGCTGATCACTGGGAAATGCAATTACCGGTTATCGGCTGCACTTTCCTCACGCTGTTACAGCATGAGGAAAGTACTGCCAAGAACTGGCAGTTGTCAGAGGAGGGATCAGCACTGATGATCAGTGCCCTGATGATCGGTGCCCTACAGTGCCGCCCGCAAGTGCCAACAGTGCCACCCACCTGTGCCCAGTAGTGCCACCCACCCGTGCCCATCAGTGCAGCCCAGCTGTGCCATCCATCAGTGCTGCCCAGCAGTGCCGCCAGTCAGCGCCGCCTATCAGTGCCAAATATCAGTGCTGCCTATCAGTGCCACCTATCTGTGCCACCTCATCAGTGCTGCCTATCAGTGCCCATCAGTGCTGCCTATCAGTGCATCAACGCACATCAGTAAAGGAGAAAAATTACCTGTTTGCAAAATTCTATAATAGAAACAAAGAAAAACTTTTTTTTTTCAAATTTTTTGCTCTTTTTTTGTTTATAGCTCAAAAAATAAAACAACCAGCGGTAAATAAATACCACCAAAAGAAATCTCTATTTGTGTGAAAAAAATGATAAAAATTTCATATGGCCTATATGCATGACCGCTCAATTGTCATTCAAAGTGCGACAACGCTGAAAGCTGTAAATTGACCTGGTCAGGAAGGGGGTATAAGTGCCCTGTAGGCAAGTGGTTAAAGAACAAAGATAGATGCCTCTTTGTTGTGTAAATCGTTTGAAATATTGTCTAAATTTAATTCTAAAAAGATGGTTAGCTTGTGTGAAAGCACCTTTTATCATTACATTGCTAAAATACTTTGAGTTATTCTATTAAGTGAAGTTTTGGAATGTGAAAGTACTTAATGGTGCTTGTATTTTCAATGAAACTATATTCCATAATGTGTATTTTTAATCCTTTATACAAAATGAATCAAAGGTCAGTTTAATATAAACTAAAACATGGTTTGTCTGAGCAATAAGGTTAGATTTTCATCAGTAACATAAGCTTTTGTTTTATCTACCTTTTATTTCTCTTCCCTAAAAAGCTATAATCTAGTACACCAAGTGGTTTAAATTTGACAATGAAACAGCATTAGGTGTTTTTGTCTGTAAAGAGCCAGCCTGCCCTAATAATACCAATTTTTCAATGGCAATTCCAGCAGTGACAATACGTTAAAATTCGAAACAAAACCTCTTTCATTCTTTAATAGTCCCAAATGTAGTACACAAAAGAATGCAGATGTCTGTTTAAAAGTGCATGAACTGGGCTTTCAATTACATTGATTTACTTACATTGTTTTCTGGGACAATCAATCCTCCATAGGGGTCTAGACTGCATTGTGACAACTATATTCCTTTTCAACAAGCAGCACAAGCTCACACTTAACAAGAGTCCCTGTGGCCAATGGATGCTTCTTTATCAGGTGTTGATTTACTAAAGGCAAATAGGCAGTTCACGTTGCATTTTGCAAGGGAATTTCCCCTAAGCTTAGTAAATGCTGAGGAAATTCACTTTGCAAAGAATATCACATACAAGGAAAAAACTGTATTTTTTTCCACATGATTGGCTGATGGAAATTTACAGTTTCCCTTTCAAAGTAAAAATTCCCTTGCAAAGTGAACAGCTTATTTGCCTTTAGTAAATCAACCACTATCTATCTGTGAAAGGCTTGTGCATGATTATTTCTACGGCAGTTACAAAAATGATGAATATAAAAAAAGAATTACCTGGTTATTAAGGCAATTTGTTACAAAGGCGATAAAATAGGAAGAAAACTGAAAATCTAAAATTACATTAAAATAGATCCTAACAAAGATTAGTTACAAACTGTAATTCAATATTTTAAAGCTTGGTATAACATTAATCTTAATCATGGCTTAATGTCCACTCATTAGTGGCTCCATCATTTTCTATCATAATGACATCAATGAGCAATATACTTTCATATGTACATGGTGTTTTTCTTATACATACGAGTAGTAAAGGGGTTGCCTGCATGAGTAAATGCATTTTTTGTCAAAGTGTTTGCAAATTTTGCTTGATTATATCAAGATGTTGCTTTTAAGCATTTGGGTTTCTCCAATTTTCTATATATTGTGTTGTTTTATTTGACCTTGAGTTTGAAGAAACATACCATCGCCATAGCAAGCAAGAAATATACTTTTTTCCAGTATATTGCTACAGTACATGAATAAAAATGACAAGGCTTGGTTTAAGTTTAATGGCTGTTATGGGTTCATATATAGTTAGTTATAGTCTTGTATAGTCACCTCAGATAAATATATACTGATAATTATTAACAGATTGCAATTTATTGGCATTAGGGAAATAAAGGTTGTCCTAAAGCAAATGATCAGTTGTCATATCTCTAGTACAGCTTAGACAAAAAAGATAAATAGTAATTTGTTCAATTCAGACAATGTGCTTTTATTTTTATATTTTATTTTACATGCATTTTAAAAAATGTTTTTTACCATGGATTCACAAAAACATCCCATTGCAATCCAATTAATGTTGATTATTTATTAAGGTGTTGTCTAGACAAGCCTTTTTCAACCGGGTGCCTTCAGATTCTTTCAGGAGTGCCTTGGAAAAATGCCTAAAAATTGCCAAAATTGCATACAGGCCAACAGGTGGATCAAGCCCGCCTTTTAGTTACACAAAGCCACAGGTTTTCATTGTGCACCATTGCAACTTTCTAGCCGCCAGCATCATAACAACCAATGATGACATCAGTTGATAAGAAGGACATCTGCCACCAGCACAGCATCCCTGTTTGCCCCTCCCTTGCCCTCTCTCCGTTGACTCTGGGGTCAAATAATGAGTGAGAGAGAGAGAAACTAAGGGAGAAGAGAAACAATGGAATACTAGTCAGTACCAGTGTGCAAAAGTGTATTTGAGTCAGACGAATAAATCACCTCTAATGTTGGGTGATCTACATGTGCAGATGTTGCTGCATTCTGTAAAACTATTAGTTTCGTTTTTTACATTTTGTAATGGGTGCCTCAAGATTGTAGAGAATTTTAAAGGGTACCTCAAGATTGTGCAGAATTTCAAAGGGTGCCTCGAGATTGTGCAGATTTTAAAGAGTGCCTCGATAAAAAAAGGGTTGAAAAACACTGGGCTAGACTGTACAAGAGGGATTTTTATTTTTGAATTTAGGAGATGATTGATAAGTACAGCATACTGGTCTGCCAGGTTTTGGGTTAAGTTTGCCATGCCAGATTATTGAATTGGTGTCCGTATAACAAGAGACTCACAAGATCATGTGGAGTCTTGCTTTTAAAGCCCTCAACATTCTACAGGAACAGATTAGGGTTGAGCAAATCTGTCTGGGTTCAGTTCATTTACAGTTTTGCAAATGGAAGCTCACAAACATTGTTGTGAACCCTATTGAAGTCTTAAGAAGGGGTGGGTGAACCTTGTTCTTTAATACTGGTCATTTGTAGGGCTAAGAAGCCAGCTAGTGTCAAATAAAAAACATGGGGAGCAGGGTACTGTTATGAAGGACATGTAACAATGTAACCCCCCCCAAAAAAAAACAGGTAATATTTTGAACAAGTTAGAAATAAAAGCATGGATAGAATGAAAATTAAAAACAAATCATGGGATTCTCCCAGAATCATGTGCTCCATTTACCTGAGTTTCTGTAATATTTCTTCATTCTGACTTTTCCCTAGCTAGGAAAAGGGAATTACATAACCATTCAAAGGGATAGCATTCTGTTTTTGGGTTATTATAGGGTTTATAAGTTTTCTAACAGTGTATCTTTTTCTATTAGATTTATACATGTATACAACATTGAATTTAGAAAACAATATTTAATACATGACAAAGGATTCGCAAGGCACATATAAACGGCACAGCAGTAGCAGCCAGCCTTGAATGTGCTACACACATTCTCTTGTATGTAAATTTCTGCAAATAAATGTTTTTTTTCCTGAAGGTCAACAGTTCATAGTGGAAACCATGAAATGTAGCCAAGATAGGAACCTACTGTATATCTCAATCTGCTGGGTGGTAATGAAAGTGCAACATATTAATAGGTAGTATTTCTAATTTGCTTAATTCCTATTTACTTAATTCCAGTACATTGCCTATTAACCACTTCCCCACTGCCCTATAGCACAAATACTGCTACAGGATGGTAGAGCTGCGCAAAATCATGTATATATGCATGATTTTGCATTTCCAGGTACGGCTGTCGATTTCCGGCACCCGGCAATCATCAAAGAACCCTGACAGGGCAGAGGTCTGTATGTAAACAATACAGATCTCTGCCCTGTCAACTCCAGAATGCTGCTTTGTTTTGCTCTGCATGGCAGAGCAATACAAAGCAGCATGCTTACACAGTAAATCAAACACAGCACACATAGTAAAACAGCACACAGTTAACCCTTTGATTGCCCCAGATGTTAACCCCTTCCTCCTCAGTGTCAGTACAGTGTCAGTGCTTTTTATTAGCACTGATCATTGTATAAGTGTCACTGGGGATGTCAGTGGCAGTTAGTTAGATCCCCCCCAGTGTCAGAATGTCTGCCACAGTCCCGAAGTCCCGCTATAAGTCGCTGATCGCTGCCATTATTAGTATAACAAATTTAGATGCTATAACTTTCACATAAACCAATTAATTTACACGTATTGGGATTTTTTTTTTTTTAGCAAAGACATGTAGCAGAATACATTTTGGCCTAAATTTATGACAAAATTAGATTTTATACATTTTTTTACTGTATATGTTTTATAGCATAAAGTAAAAAATATTGGATTTTGTTTTCAAAATTGTCAGTGTTTTTTTGTTTATAGCGCACAAATAAAAACGCAGAGGCAATCAATTACCACCAAAAGAAAGCTCTATTTGTGGGGAAAAAAGGACACAAATTTCATTTGGGTGCAGCATTGCATGACCTTGCAATTGTCAGTTAAAGTAACTCAGTGCCTTATCGCAAAAAATGGCTTGGTCAGGGAAGGGGGTAAATCCTCTGGAGGGCATGTGATTAAAATACAACTAAAGGCAAAATGTTTTTTTTTAGTTTTGGATAGAGTGAAGATGGACTAGAACACCTGTCAGTTTTGATTGCTGTCTATGTCCCCGTTATGGAGATTCTCCCTCTCTATTTGTCCTGTTTACCAGTACCATTGAAAGTAGGAGTTAAAGAAAATCCCAAATTTTGGGTTGTCCCCAGAAAAGTAATAGAGGGGACACTAGTTCTGGTGACCTGGTGGTCCCCTAAGGATTTCCTTAATTTGCTTGGAACTTACAGTTTTGGCTATGTGACAGGAAATGAAGGGAATTCTCCCTGAGACGCAGATGGCAAAAAAATTATTTGACAGGATTATAGCCTTCCCTTGCTCTATTCAAAATGAAAAAAAAACAAAAAACAAAAATGTGCCTATATTTCTACTTTAATTCTTAACTTTATATCCATGTCTAGTTCAAATATGGCCTGGTAACCATCAACCTCACTATCCCTGCTCACCGTGTATTCTGTCTATCATCTCTTGAGTTCTAGGTGTTGCCTATGTTCCATCCTCAGTTAGTTACCCTTCACTGTCTGTACCTTGGCTCCCTTGCTTAGTTGGATAAAGGCATAGGTTTGCCATGCCTCAACTCTATGGGAAGCCACGTTTTAGATAACACATAGATTTCCTTTAAAATAGAGCACAATAGCACACCAAAACCACAAGTGTCTTTATTGCATGCAGAAGGTTGTGGCAATACAAAAATATTCACATCCTCATTTCTATAACTACTCATTGTTTACATTTTCAGCATTTGCTCCTCTGGCATTCTAGCTGCCTAATGTTTCTTCCCTTTTGCTATTTCATTGCAGCCAGAGCAGTGTTGTTAGTCCACAACAGAAAGTTATCCGCTAAACACATTTTGAAGAAGCCTTAACCCTTTGAGGACCAAGGGACGTATTTGTCCCATGTTTTTAATTGCGTGTATCATCTGATTAAGAACTTAAAACTCTTTTTTTTTTTTTGGTTTGAGTCAAAATATTAGTTCTTATCAACAAACAACAAATGGATCTAGCTTTTTGCCAATTATTTCATGAAATGGCTTAGATACAGCAACTGAAGTGTACGAACTTTAAAAACACAAAAATGGATTCTTTTGGCGTTCCAAAATCTTACGGTCCTCAAAGGGTTAATAGCATATGAAAATGGGCATTTATTGGACCACTGTACTGATTTTTTTTAGATTTTGCCCACACGTGCACTTTAACATAGCTATGCCTCATATAGATGTACTTACTCAGAGCAGATATACTAAGCTACTGTTAGTAGATGCCCAAGCGGCTATTGTGTACTGAGATGTGCTGCAGGCACTGACAGTGGGAAACTCTTCTATGTGCCAGTGTACTGGGGTGTAAAAAGTATTAGCAAGCTATTAAGACCGATTTAACATTTTGAGAATGTTTATGTGATAAAGATGTTTATGCAGTGCAGATTAAGTAATCGTAATTGGTAATTGCTTGAGTATGCAAACTTATTAGACTGCAGACTTCTTTGCACATTTATAATGTTCTGCATATTGTATTTGCTAATGGTCTCCTATTTTATTTTTTGTCCATGCAGTAATTATTGTGGATAAGAGTAATTAGTTAAAACCATTGCCACTATTCAAGATTAAAATAAATACATACATTTACATATTTAATAATTAGCAACTCCAAATGTATATATTTATCATGAGCTGGAATTTTTACAGTAACATTCATACATTATGCATCATATTCTATCTCGATGTGCTGGCTCAGTTTGTGATAATATCCACTGCACTGTGAAACAGTAAATACAGAGAGTTAGCTAAAAATAAATACATGCTAGTCAAGGAAAGCACAAGTCGCATAATGGCTGGCTTCTTGTCATACTGACTGTCAAATCCTATAGAAATGCGATACTTAAAAACCTCTGTAGTTGTTGGAGCTGTGGAAACTCTGCATTTCAGGGTAATTAATTTATGCAAAACATCAGTACTGACTATTATGATATTTTAGTAGCATCAGCAGTTCTATTTTATGAACCTTTTTTTTTTTTAATATTAACATTTTATATTACAGGAAACAGGGAATTTATATGAACTGTCTAGAAAAGGCTGACATATTTCATTTTAAATTTAATTATAACACTGTACTGTGATCTGTTTGGATACTGAGGTATACAGAAGATGCTAATTTAAGTAACAGCAGTATAGTTTGGCTGTAATTCATAATGATAGAGAACAAAATATTGGCTTAAAGTGTATCTAAAGCCAAAAAAAGTTTTTGTTTTACATAGAGGGGGGAAATTATAACTATTTTTTATTACTGTTTGTGTCTCTGATGGAGAGATACTATCCTCTCTATATGTATCAATGACCATTTTTATGGGGTAAAAAACTGATGGAAATTTCAAAATGTTATAGCTGGTTCCGGAACAGGAGGCACAGCAAAACCTTTAAAAAGAATTAAAGCCAAAAAAAGTTTTTGTTTTACATAGAGGGGGAAAATTATAACTTCTGTCAGATTTTTATTACTGTTTGTGTCTCTGATAGGGAGATACTATCCTCTCTATCTGTAGCAATGACCATTTTTATGGGGTAAAAAAACTGATGGAAATTTCAAAATGTTATAGCTGGTTCCAGAACAGGAAGCACAGCAAAACCTTTAAAAGGAGACATCATGTTGTGTCACCAAGACAAGTAGGGGTTTATTTACTAAAGCTGGAGAGTCCAAAATCAGACTCCCTTCTGCATAGAAACCAATCAGCTTCTAACCTCAGCTTGTTCAATGAAGCTTTGGCAATGAAACCTGGAAGCTGATTGGTTTCTATGCAGAAGTGAGTCTGATTTTGCACTCTCCAGCTTTAGTAAATAAACCCCGTAGTGTCCAAAATCTCCAGAACAGTACAGAGACATGAAGAAATATTGAGTTTTCAAGGTTGGGTGCTATTATAAAAAGGCTAGTAGATCGAAGTTTTTCCTCAAAGCTCATGTGATGACATCCCAACATACAATGGACAGATCACATTGCCACATCATATTTCTCATATAAAGAGAAAAATAAACTTATAGGACAGCCAGCTCAACATATACATGACACCTGTATCAATGAAAACTATCTAAGAGGGTCATAGTAACAAATGTCAATTAATAAAAAAAAAGTTATAAAGAAATTAATTAAAGCATTTGTTTCATTTGGAGGACAACACATTATGTAATAATAGTTCAGGCCCATGGAGAAATTGATGACATTTTTGAATTTATTCGATAATTCAGATTTGGAGAACAAATGGATCTGAATTTCATTCTATTTATTAATTTGGATGTGCATGATGCCAGGTGATATTATCCAGTCAGCTCATGTCATTTCTCTTCGTGGGTTGGACTGGCATCTGAAAATATTGAATCCTTCCAATTTGAATCCATTCAATTCAATGTTATATCAAATACATAGTAATCTTTTGAAAGCTGCAAAAAGTTCTGAATCCACCCGGATCAATGAATATACAAAACGAATACCGAAAAGGAATCAACATAGCAAATATGACAAAACAAATTTTTTGAAGGAATGAAGGAATGAAAATTCTGATGTGAACATGTCTAGCAACTATCACCTTAGTAGCCTTTTTTCCCACTGGCTCAACTTCCTAAAACAAAATAATCTAAATCTAGGTGTTTCACCTCTGCATTTGTCAAGAGTAAAAAAAAAATAGTTTGTACTTATATTCAATTCATTTCCATGTATTTTGCAGTACACTGGAAACATGCATGAACAAACTAAAATCCGGAGTTTTGTTTATTGAATGTGTTCAAAGTGTTATTCTGCATTCTGTATTCCTGTGCATTTAGTATTCTGGCACAACCCATGTTAACCTCCTTAGCGGTGTTCCCGAGTGTAGCTCGGGGTAAAATTTCTATACCAAGAGCGGTAACCCCGAGCTACACTCGGGCTTACCATGCGGCGCTGCTCTGGGGGTCCCTGCAGCACTTACCTTGTCCTTCGCTCCCACGATGTGTCCCCTGCAGCGTCCCTGGCCATCTCCTCAGGCCGATACCGGCATCCGGCTTCTGTGTTCCGGTCCCTGTGACGTCGGGACGTACGGGAGCCGGTACCGGCGGGAAATTTGACATTTTAAAAAAATTTCATTTTTGCTGTCATTGCTGTTTCAATGCATTTCACATATATTTTGGCCCTACTGCTTTGTCCTGTGCCCTGCCTGCATTTTGACTGTTCTTTCTGCCTGGAAACTTAGAAAAGTCCATGGCGTCCAAAAAGCGTCCTTTTACGTCAAAAGCGGTTTTAGAGCAGCGATAGTAAATCAGAACCACTTGCAGAATTGAGTGATAATGATTCGTGGGGAAATTCGTCATCAGACACTGAAAACGATTTTGCGACTTTGCTCAGCGATGTGCGAATTTGCCTCTGTATTTCAAATTTCAGTGTTTTTGGTTTGATTATATTATTGAATTAAATTTATTATTATATTATTATTTTTTATGATTATTTATTAAATTATAATTTATGATTTCGTGTTTTAAATTTTATCATATCCGGAATGTTTAATAGACTCTTGTTCGTACAGATTTCAGTGAGTTATTCCTAAAAATTACAGCTTACAATAAAAAACTACATATTTCCATGCAAAAAAAATGGTACCGCTTTCAGCACAAAAAAAATCGGAAAGAATCATACCGCCAAGGAGGTTAAAATAAATAATCTGTGTTACTACAGTGCATGTTGCACTTTTAAACTGTGAACAAACCCTAAGGCTACATGTATATGCATACTGGATGTTTAGCCCCTGTGCATCAAATTCTGGCATGTCTGGGCATCTGGGAGGAACAGGTGCAGTGCCCAGCCCCATTGCCAGCATCCTGTCAAAATCTATGGCAGGATGAGCTGTACAGCTGGATGTTCTACCAAGTGGTACTAGAATGTAAGGCTGTATGCATTCATGGACCTATGCTCAGAAGAGACTACCTGCATTCGGGACATGTGTCCCTGAACGCATATGGCCCTAAATGTTGATGTAGATTAGTATCTGTTAGTAGTCCAGAAGCATTTAGCTCTACTTTACCTCTCAGTCATAGTTATTTATTTATTATTAGCCACTTTGCTGTAGGCAAAGCGACGTATGGGTAGGTCACTGCCTACTTCCGAGTTCAGGCGCGTGCGCCCTCCCCTCCTTCACATGCTGCCTGCTGTGATTGTACACAGCGGGTGTGTGTCAGAAACTCTCAGCCAATGATTCATGGCCAGTACCTGCTGATCGGCTGTGTACGATCACATCCTAGAGCTCTGTGTTGATATTCAACACAGAGCTCCATAAACAGGGAACAATCTGTCAGTTTCTCATCCCTGCAAAGCAGGGATGAGAAACTGATAGTTCTCTTTACACACATTACACATAGTTAAGCACACATAGTTAAGTTTAACTCCTGATCACCCTAGATGTTAACCCTTTCCCAGCCAGTGTCATAAGTACAGTCACAGTGTACAGTATGATCATTGATCACGGTATCAATGCCAGTAGTGATGTCAGTGTCAGTTAGTGTCAGATTGCCTTCCACACTCCGGCAGTCCCATTATAAATCACTGATCGCAGCCATTAGTAGTATTAAAAAAAAATCCCACTATATATCCCATAGCTTGTAGGTGTTATACTTTTCACACAAACCAATCAATATGCACTCATTGGAATTTTTTGTTATCAAAGACATGTAGCACAATACATTTTGTCCAAAATGCATGAAGAAATTAGATTTTTTGGGGGGTATGTTTTATAGAAGAAAGCAAAAAATATAGTTTTTTTCAAAAGTGTTCTTTTTTTTGTTTATAACTCAAAAAATTTAATCCTAGTGGTGATCAAATACCACCACAAGAAAGCTCTATTTGTGTGAAAAAAAATTATATATATTTTGTTTTATTACAGCGTCGCAATTCCCAATTAAAGTAGCGCAGTGTGGTATATCAAAAAATGGCCATGAAGGGGGGAAAATCTTCCAGAGGTTATGATTAACACCCCCCCCCCCCCCCCCGTCAGGTGTTTGTTTTTTCCTCCTTGCAGGGAACATTCATTCTTTCTATTTTTCTTGGAAGCTATTCTCATTGAGACAAAAACCAATGGGAAATCTAAAATTTTTAGTTATCTTCAGTGCAAGAAGTAATGGAAAACACTTAAATGGAACATCTGTTCCTATGACCACTCTCTAAGAAGGGAATTCTGTTCATGATGGAGAGATTAGCTCTCATTACCCATTTGCATTTTCAGAACAGCAAACAAATAATCTGATGTTGGTTTTAAATTTACCCTACTCTAAAACTGGAAAATTAATCTAAAACAAAACATACACAGTTTTACACTTTAAATCAATGAGCATTGTAACATTGTATCTGCCTCTGTACACACTGAAACTTCTTCTCCAATACATCTCATAGCATCTTTAGATAACACAGCATCAGTGTAGAAGTTAGAAATTATATGAAAAAAAATATATGTAATCATTCTAAAATGGCAAACTATTCACTTATCACTCATCTGTTTCATGTTAAACACCCAATGGTATTTTAACCCCCTTCCTGCCCAGGCTAATTTTCAGCTGTCGAACCTTGAATGGCGGTTGCGCTGTAATGCAACACTGTACCCATATGACATTTTTATAATTTTTTTCACACAAATAGAGCTATATTTTGGTGTTATTTAATCGCTACTGAGTTTTTTTCTAAATAAACAAGAAAAGACAGAACATTTTGAAAAAAACATGTTTTTCTTTGTTTCTGTTATAAAATGTCAAAATGTATTCTGGTACATTTCTTTGGTGAAAATAACCCAAATTAGTGTATATTATTTAGTCCGTAGGAAAGTTATAGAGAACACAAACTATTGTAGATATCTGAAAATTGATCAATCCTGATGTACTGACTGCCTATCTCATTTCTTGAGACCCGAAAATGCCAGGACAGTACTCATACCCACCAAAATGACCTCTTTGGGGAAAATAGACAGTCTAAGGTGTTTAGGAAGAGGCATTGCAAGTGTTTTTTGAAGTTGCAATTGTTCTTGTCACAATTCGTTGGAAACTGAAGAAATAAAAAGAAAACATTTTTTTTTTACCATATTCTCACTAGTCAAATACAATGTTATCATGTATCTGGTATGACAGTGATCAGGGACACTGACTGGTGATAGTATGTAAAAAAAAATACATTATTATTGTTTAATTTTTTTTATTACATTTTTTTTCTGTTTTTTACACTTTTTTAATACACTGTGACCAGAGCAATACATTGTTACCATAGTAACACTGTACTATGGGAAAGCGATCAGGGTTTTTTATTGTTTAAACAATATGATTGCTTTATACCAATCTATTTCATTGATATAAGAACTCAGTTTTACTGGATGAAACTGATTCATTCAGTATATTTTGTTGTGATTAGCTGTGATTGGCCAGAGCTAATCACATGGTACATATGGGCTGTGAGTGTCCCTGTCTGTACCATGTGATTGATCACAGCTAACAACACAATTTTATACAATGGATGGCATGAAAGGAAGCCATCCTTTGTTTAACCACTAGCCTACAGGGCACTTATACCCCCTTCCTGCCCAGGCCAATTTCCAGCTTTCAGCGCTGTCGCACTTTGAATGACAATTGTGCGGTCTTGCAACACTGTACCCATATGAAATTTGTATAATTTTTTTGTGACAGATAGAGCTTTATTTTGGTGGTATTTAATCACCTCTGGGATTTTTATTTTTTTGTAAACAAACCAAAAATCACTGAACATTTTGAAAAAAAATAGTTTTCTTAGTTTTTGTTATAAAATTTTGTAAATAAGTGATTTTTCTCCTTCACTGATGTGCGCTAATGAGGCTGAACTGATGGGCAATGGTAGGCTGCACTGACAGTTCCAGAGGAGAGCCGGTAATCGGCATTCCACGGAGGGGACATGTACACTGATCATCAGGGAACTGATGATCAGTGTGCCCTGATGATCAGTGTGGCCCCAGAAGTGCCACCTGTCAGTGTCCATCAGTGCCAGCTGTCAGTGCTAAACAGTGCCACATGCCAGTGCCCATCAGTGCCACATCAATGCCACATATCAGTGCCTACCAGTGCACATCAATGCCACATATCAGTGCCCATTTGAGCTGCCTTTTAGTGTCACCCATCAGCGCCAGTCAGTGCCACCTATCAACGCCAATCAGTGCCATCTATCAGTGCTGCCAATCAGTGCCACCTATCAGTGCCAGTCAGTGCCACCTATCAGTGCCAGTCAGTGCCACCTATCAGTGTGCATCAGTGACGCATATCAGTGCCCATCAGTGCCACCTATCAGTGCCAGTCAGTGCCGCCTATCAGTGCCAGTCAGTTCCGCCTATCAGTGCTGCTTTTCAGTGCCCATCAGTGCCACCTACCAGTGCCTCCTCATCAGTGCCACCTATCAGTGTCCATCAGTGCAGCCTATCAGTGCCTATCACTGCAGCCTCATTAGCGCACATCAGTGAAGGAGAAAAATCACTTATTTACAAAATTTTACAACAAAAACTAAGAAAAAAAAAACATTTTTTTTCCAAAAATTTCAGCGTTTTTTGGTTTGTTTAAGAAAAAAAAAAAAAAACCCAGAGGTGATTAAATACCACCAAAATAAAGCTGTATCTGTCACAAAAAAATGATAAAAATTTTATATGAGTACAGTGTTGCATGACCGCGCAATTGGCATTCAAAGTGTGACAGTGTTGAGAGCTGGAAATTGGCCTGGGCAGGAAGGGGGTATAAGTGCTGTGTAGGCAAGCGGTTAAACTGCACATGTGCCTAAACTATTGACATTAAAACATGTATACAGTATATTCTTTACAAGCAGTAAACATTTGTTGAAACAAGCCAACCCTGACCTTTCTATCTGAAAGTACTAAGAAGTAATCCATTCTCTAAGATCCTAAAGGATCACAACTGAGACTCTAAGGCTACATTCACACTAGCATTGTTACTGCTTCCCAAATGCCTCTGCCAATTCTGCACATTACAGCACATGGTGCTGTTCTAATGGGAGCATTTGCGTCGCGTCGTGTTGCGTTGCGGCAAAACGGACGCCTCTGGTCGAGTCAGAAGGCTTTGAAGCCTCCTATTCTCATCTATGGTGCCTCTCCGCGCCTGGCCGGCGTTTGCGGGGCGGTTTGCGGGGCGTTTGCGGAGCGGTAACACCACTCAAACTGCATTATAGGCGTTTGTGGGGCGTTATTAACGCTCGGCAAACGCCTAGCAACCGCCGCTAAACTGCGCATGCGGCGTTTGTGGAGCGTTTGCCGAGCATTAAAAAACGTTCTGCAAACGCCAGACCAACGCTTGCTCCGCAAACGCCTGACCAACGCTTGCCAAACGCTTTAGGGGCGTTTGGCAAGCGTTGGTAAAACAGCCAAATGTGAACGAGCCCTAAAGTTGGGTTTCAGTTGTTTTTTTACAGCTTAGAAACATCTGGTGTGTGTTTACACTAGAGGGCTGGAAGTTTACCAAGAATTTCTCTCCATCAAAAACAGGTGAGATTAAAGTCAAACTTTAAAGATGAATTTCTCCACAATGTATATAGTCACAAAGGTGCATTTACTGCTTGTTCAGAATATGTAAATATTTCAGTGTGCAAAATCCTGAAATGGGTTCACTTTAAGAGCACTTTTCAGCTAAGCTTGGAAATAAGAGAACCCCTGCTTGTGATGCAGAAATTTTATTCCTAAATGTACCCACTCCAAGTGGCTTGCTTCTTTTTCTCTCATACATAAAACACGTCCTTTTTTATCACTAGCCATTAATGAAATTCCAACTGGCTTTAAAAATGTTAAAGCTATTAGGGTTAGTGATGGTCAAATCAGGAGAACTTCTGATTCAGCACTCTTTTTATATTGAATATTTGCATGTATATTTGTCTGCTTTTTTACAGAATCATGTTATTTAGAATACAGATAATCATGATTGATGAACTGTATGATTCTTTGTGCCATGGACAAATCTAAATGCATATATTCAGGAGAATGAACACAACTTGAATTTCACATATTCACCTGCTTTTCAGAATAATTTACTCATGGATGGGCAAAGCACAAATCCATTTAAAGCTTTTATATTACAAATGGCAGCTGTTTGCTAGGAATAACTGTGCTTTTAGTTACGTTTTGCCATGTTAATAATTTTTGATTGTGCTGTGATAGATTCACATTATGTTCATTGTGTGCTGTACTTGTTAATCTTAACCATCTTCAAATAATAGCCTTTTCACTTGGATTATAGCTTTCTCACTATGCTTTTGTCGTAATGTTGAAACTCAGCTTCCTACAATATTGTGCATGATAAAAGAGAATCATTTGACAATGTGAAATGGTGCAGATGGTAATCCTACATTATCTAGTTTGCCATCTTGAAACTGGCACCTAAATGGCTATCCCATGTGTCTGTGTAGTAATTGGTATGTTAATTCCTATAAATGAATGGACCTAAGGAGTACTTAGACCTGATTATTATGTTATGTACTGATTTCAGAGGTCAAAAAGTGGAAGAGTTATTAGAACAGATTGCTGTAATTGTTAAGAGTTTAATTTCAAAATCCTATTAAAGTCTAATGTCATCATTACCCTGACTTTCACATTAGGAGTACAAGAGGGAAAATATACTGCATACAAGAACATGGAAGAATTTATTTCAAATTGTTGTTAAATATACACTATATTGCTAAAAGTATTGGGATGTCTGCCTTTACATGCACATGAACTTTAATGGCATCCCAGTCTTAGTCCGTGGGGTTCAATATTGAGTTGTCCCACCCTTTGCAGCTATAACAGCTTCAACTTCTGGGAAGGCTGTCCACAAGGCTTAGGAGTGTGTCTATGGGAAAGTGTGACCATTCTTCCAGAAGCACATTTGTGAGGTCAGGCACTGATGTCGGACGAGAAGGCCTGGCTCACAGTCTCCACTCTAATTCATCCCAAAGGTGTTCTGTCAGGTTGAGGTTAGAACTCTGTGCAGGCCAATCAAGTTCCTCCACACCAAACTCACTCATCCATGTCTTTATGGACCTTGGTTTGTGCACTGGTGCACAATCATATTGAAACAGGAAGGGGTCATCCCCAAACTGTTTCCACAAAGTTGAGAGCATGAAATTGTCCAAAATGTCTTGGTATTTTGATGCCTTAAGACCCTTCACTTTCACTGGAACTAAGGGGCCAAGCACAACCCCTGAAAAACAACCCCACACGAACCCCCCCCCCCCACCAAACTTTACACTTGGCACAATGCAGTCAGGCAAGTACCGTTCTCCTGGCAACTGCCAAACCCAGACACGTCCATCAGATTGGCAGACAGAGAAGAGTGATTCAGAACCCCAGAGAACATGTCTATACTGCTCTAGATTTCAGTGGCAGCATGCTTTAAACATCCAGTCGGAGACACAGCTCTGTGTGTGAATGGAAACATGGAGTAGCGGGTGCCCCCATAGCATGCTGCTTGCTGTGGGGGCACCTGATAGGAAAGAGGGGACAGGAGAGTCTGCAGAGAACCCAAGAAGAGGAGGATCCAGGCTGCTCTGTGCAAAACTACTGCACACAGCAGGTAAGTATAGCATGATTGTTATTTTACAAAACAATTAACCTTTAAAATCACTTTAAGAAAATCCATAGTTGTAAAAAATTCCAGGTTCTGGAATCACATCAAACCGTAAGAGCCTGTTCGTGCCAGAACATTTTGAAAGTTGTTTCAGTGCATTGCAAATATGTTGGAACTACAAAGAGATCATACAGAAATACATAAGCAAATTAAACATGTGCAAGTCAACTTGTTAGGGCCAATGTTAAACTGCAACTGTGGTAATAAACATATACTAAATGATTTTTTACTCATATGGTTTGGTGTTAGCATACACAGACGTGCACATAAGGGTTAGGGTATTATGATTAAAATGTTACTAAACCCACAACAGTAAAATCAGTCTGTATATGCAGTAAAGCATGCTTGATACACTCACTGTGGAACCTAAGGGGTTAATCCTCTGCATTGTGTAAAAAGGCTGTTTGTTCCAGACATCTCTGATCTTCCAGTGTCCCCCTCTTATCTCCCGCTAAGACATATCGAGTGGAGACACTCTGCATATGCTGAGTTTGGTGTGTATTGCTAGAGAAGTTTTTTTTTTCTTGGGAGAGTGCATGTGATCAGCACAGGGCCAATCAGCACTGTCCACACAGAAGTCTGAGGTTTTGCATCCTCCTAGAGCAGAATGAAATCTCCTCCTTCAAGCTGTAACCAGTGCTCTGCTGGACACTGATAGAAGTCACAAGACTGCTCTAACTGCTGATTAGAAAAGATATTTAGCAGTGCATATTTACTAAAATAATTGCACTTCCATGTTTCGTGTAATGTGGGAGACCAGATATACTGAATGCAGGGTCCTGGGTTTAGTAACACTTTAAGCCCTCATTAGTGTGAAACATGTCAACACTAGCTCTCCACCCCGTGCTTTGTTTGTATGCAAATTTTTTTGCATTTTGAAATACACCTTTCGATCTTACTGTATGTATATTGTTGTCTGGTCATCCAGTCTTCATCTCTGCTATATTATGGTATGAAACGGATCAGAACCTGGTCTCTTGGAGCTGAACAATTGTGGCAGACCTACCTGGAGCAGTGTATGATGTCTGGAAAGAAGAGTGAGGGGTAGGGTTTTTGAGAGCACCAATATTAGAGGCACGTGTATTTAATGGATAGACCAATGACAGGTGGACCTGAGGGAGCCCACCCCTCCTTAAAGGTATAGGAGCACACTGGACACCCAGCATATAGCACAATGGCAGCTAAGGTGTCCAGTGCGCCCCGTCACCAACAATTCAACAGTACAAAAAATGGCCACTGTCCCAGTCTATAACTGGCCTTCACAGCAAGGAGCACATGGAAGGGAGACGCATGTCAAAAAACAAAATAGAAAAATTCCCAGCTCAGCTTGCCAACCAGCCTGCAAACAAACCAAATTAACCTGTCTAACAGTATGAGTTAAAAACAGGAGTTTAGGACCAAAGCTTTTGGCTTCAATCCCTTCCTGTAAGGCTTTAGTATACTTAGATCTGCCCAAGTATAGCATGGGCCAGGGGGTGAGGACAAAAACAGTGGATAAAGAAAATGCAGGACTATACTCAGCAGAAGAATACTGAAGCCAACAGGGACACAAGCTGACAGTAAATGCAGAAGATGCCAGTACTAGACCCCTCAGATCTAAAGGTACTGAAACCTTACAGGTGGTGTGTGGGCTGTCGGGTAGGGCAGAGGTCAACGGAAGATGCTGGGACCAAACCTGGGCAGGTCTAAGAAC